TTTTTGCCTCTCATCTTACCATTAGGGATTGTATTGTAGGAATGAAATTGGTTGGAAGACAACTGGTTGGAAAATTGTTTTATTTTTATTTTTATTTTTTTAAATCAGGGTTTGGTAAAACTCACTCGCAGGTTACAGTGAGCTGAGTGACACGGCTTAATCAGGTTTTCTGGATTTATTTAAAACTGCTGTTTTAAACCTGTAGCTAACCAAGAGAGAAAGGAAGCTAAGACACAAAATATCCTTTCAGTCTTACATTAATGCATTCTGTATGCCTATATTCACTAATCCTTCCTTCCTTTTTTCATGCCTGGCCAAAAAAGAAAAATTACTAATTGTAGCAATCATTCTTTTGTGGCCTTGCATGCTCTTAGGCTTTTTACTTTGCAAACATTTGTTTAAACAAGGCTTCCACTTCCATGTCTACTGGATATTTATAGGTTTGAGTAGGTCAGCACATCCACTGAAATATATTGACTAAATATAGATGACATCTCTAGCAAAAAGCAGTCTCCCAAAAGGAAAATATCACAAAACCAAGAAAACACTATTCTGGGGATGGTATTAAAGCATGAAGTTAGTACTTGTTCATCAATAACTTGTTTCTAACGTTACCAGGGATAGATGAGAGCTGTTCCAATCAGACACGGCCTCTAAGAACAAGAAGCACAAATGACTCGGGAAGTGTCTCGAGCCAGAAAGCATTTAAAGGCTTTACACAGCAGCTGTAGCCCTGGGCACAAGAAAGCTACTCATGCAGACAGAACACATTTACTCTAACATTTTTGTTGGCCTCTGAATCATGTGGCTTGCAGTTGAAATGGGCGCTGGCCTGAATAGCAACTCTATCTCCACCACAACACAAAATATTGACTATGACTGTGAAACCCTTCCTTCACTGAATTTCCTGAACTCGTTTGCTGCTTTTCACCTCCATGCAGATTATATTAACTGAAGACAAACATCTGAGGATCTGAATCTAGCCAATGAAAAAGCTCCCAAAAGAAACAGGGGGAGGAAGTAAAAGAAACACAAAAAGCCAATTTTTGCACATAGCTTCTCTTTCTCATCTTGACTGTATTTCCACGATCCTCTTGAAATGGATATAACTCATAGGGTTCTCTCCAAAAAAGAAAACAAAAGCAAAAAAACCTTGTAGTAAATCTGAATATGGTAAATTTTAGAACCTTAGGAGGAGTGTTCCTTGAGCCCTTTGGGTTTGATTGATTGTGTGAGCTAATTACCCATTGTCTTATCAGATCATAAATGAAAACTATAGGTAGACAGAAAATAATTGCAACTATAAGGAAAGTGTAATTAAGGATTGAGGGGGGAAACAAACAGAATAATTTGGTTATTTATATTTTAAATCCCGTTCTACCCTAAGGGTCATACAAGCTTATACATTAGCCTTTAAAAAGTTATTTGGGGTGTCTTCAAGTCATTGTTAACTCTTGGCAGCTGCAGTTTTCTTGGAAGGTTTGTCCTTGCCTGCTTCCCAGAGCTGAGAGTGTCCGGTCCAAGATTACCCAACTGCCTTTTATACCTAAGGCTGGTGCTTAAACCACTAGTCCAAACTGGCTTAAAAAAAATTAATTAAGGCCATTGTTTCTTTTTATCATGTTAAAATAGAATGGGGAAGAAGGAGAGAAAGTGACAGGAAAGAAATGATCTTGGAGATAATAGATAGACTACCCATTATTATTTTCAGTGCAATTGGGAAAGTTATAGAGAGACACATTGGGCACACATTTTGATGCTGCCAACTATTTTATTTATTTTTTAATGTTTTTATTTGTTAAATTTGTTTGCTGCCCATCTCTGCACAAGGTGACTCTTTTTACCCCTTTAGCATGCAAGTAAGGCTGCAATCCTAGCAAATATAATTGGGAATCATCCCAGTTATAGATAGATAGATGTTATGACTCCCCACAACAGATAGATAGATAGATAGATAGATAGATAGATAGATAGATAGATAGATA